ATGTACTCTTGCTATCCCCCCCCCCCAAATTCCCTAAACACAACCACTCTACATTTACACTATTATCTCTACTATCTTTTTTCTTGACATTAATTGATTCTTCCTTTTATCTGAGTCAAGAATCAGGCTGACTTACTAAATAGGAATCCTTTGGGGCTGATAATTGTTCTGTTGATATTTTTTCTTTTTCAGGTTCCGCAATCAGATGTGATTGGGTATTTTTAAAATTTTAAGCAGGTCTTTTGTCTGAAAATTTTTCAACCAAAAGGATTATGTCATTTTCATGTTATTCTATCTTTTTCCTCTCCTGTCAAAACTCAGTTTCCTAAGTAGCTGATTTGTACCTACTAAAACTACATCTCTGAGCTCTCTGCTCTCTAATCCTTTAAGATCTATTCACTTAAGGGGCAGGTAGGTGGATCAGTGGATAGAGCACAGGACCTGAAGTCAAGAGGACCTGAGTTCAAATTCGGCCTCAGACCAAACACTTGACACTTACTAGCTTTGTGACCCTGGGCAAGTCACTTAACTCCAATTGCCTAAAAAAAAAACGAAACCCTATTTACTCAATCAATATTGATGAACAAATTCCACAGCTAGTTGCTGGGGGATGGGGAGAGTGAAGGGGAAAGGGATAGACGTATCCAGGTGAAGAACCTACACTTTCAAGGCAGAATGGCACCTTCACTGCCATTTAGTTGCAGAGAGCTGCCCAAAGCACTGAGATGCTAAATGACTTGGTAGGGTCAGACTTCCAGGATGTGCCAGAAGAAAGACTTGAATATAGGTCTTCCATCCTAACTCTACACAATGTAGCCTCTCTTTCTGTGGATAAAAGACAGTTTCTGCCTCCAGGGGGTTCATAATTCAGTGGAATGGACTAGAAGAGATCTTCACAAATGAAACCAGTAGAAGTGCTGTAAGAGCTGTGTGGCTGTGTATCATGGGAAATTACAGTGACAAGACCACTTGCAGCTGGAAGAATGTTAGGGGAGGCTTGATGATGTAACCTGGCCTTAGATAAATAGAGGAGGTATATATATATATATGTGTGTGTGTGTGTGTGTGTGTGTGTGTGTGTATATGCACACATATATATACATATAGATAGATGTAGATGTAGATATGGATATGTAGATAGCTATATGATACACACACATATATAACACGCATATAGGGGTATATGCATACATACATAATATGTGTGTATGTACATACGCATATAGACATGTATATTTGTGTGTGTGTGTGTGTGTGTGTGTGTGTGTGTATGGAGAGAGAGGGGTAGAAAGATGACACATTTATTAAGTGCTTCTTATGTGTTAGGTCCTTTGCTAAGCTATGGCAGTACAAAAATTGGGCAACAAAGTGGTCCCTACTCTCAAGGAACTTTCATAATGATTGGGGAACATAAAGAATAAAGGAGAATAGAAAGTGGGAGCTGAGAGATTCCATGACCACCTGGACCAAGACAGCCTGTGTGGAGGTGGGGCAGAACAAAGAGTGAGCCAGAAGTGAAATAAAGAGTGTGGCCAGAGCTTCTTATGTCATGACAGTTCTAGACAAGGACTCACTGTCATCAAGTAGACCTCAGAGTCAGAATCCTTAACATGGGATAAGGAAAAATAAAGATTTGAATAGGCAGAGAAGGTAAAGCAGACATTCCAGGTAGAAGAAACTACCTAAGCAAAGGTATCATGGTAGAATTGCATGAGATGCATATGAGGCATGACAAGTCTGCTTGATTCGACTGTAAGATTTGTATGGTGGTGCACTAGGAATTAAGTATGGAAACCTCTTTGGTGTCAGAGTGTGGAAGGCACTGAATCTTGGCTTTATTCAGTAAGCAACAAGGTTGTCTTGATAGTATGTGAGCAGGAAATTGTATTTAATCCCATGACACTGATATGATCATGGCAGAACCACTCTAAATAATCTTTGAGAAATTGTTTGAGAATTACCATTAAGCCTGGATGTAAGAAAGTGTCCACATTTTCTAAAATGTAATAATGCTGGGGGGTTTTTTAGAATTAGCTAGAAACTATAGGCCCCATAAGAATGACCTCAATCCACCACAAAATTCTAAAGTGGATGATTTAGGAAGGCCAAGCTCACAGTACTAGGTTCAATAATGACAAATCATATCCAAAAAATATATGTACATCTTTGTAAGGCAAATAGCTTCTAATGTTTCCTCATCCATTTCAATGATGCCATCATCTTCCTGGTTGTTTACATTCCCAATTTAAGTTTCACTTCTCTTACATTTCATATATGCTCTGTTCTCCATGTTCAGCCTATTTTTCTCCCACTTTTGTTGGAATAGCTTTTTTCCCACTATTTCCACAAACTTGGTCTAAATCTGGGTCCCCATCTCTTCATGCTTCTGAATTCTGCCAACACTCTCTCTCTTAACATCCAGTCATTTTCTGTTCCAATTTAATGGACAAGGTAACTAAAATGATTTGTCAACATCGTGAAGCAGAAGTGGGCTTAATTCAGTACACACAGGTTCTAGTACTGATTTTGCCTAGGGTTACATGGCCTTGGCAATTAATTTCTTTAAGCCTCATTTTTCCACTTTCACAAAATTGGACTGTCCCATAATTATGAAACCTTTCCAGTCTTCTTACATATTAATTTCCAACATGTACTCTTAAGTTCTTAAGGCAAGAAATCTTAGCTGCTATCAAGAAACAAATGAAACAATCCTCCAAATAACTGAGAATTAGAGGAATCCATGTTAAAGCAACTCTGATGTTCTTCTGCCTCAAACCCATGAGATTGGCAAAGATGACAGAAAGTAAAATGACACCTGTTGGAAGAATTTTAGCAGACAAACTAATTATACACTTTTGACATAATTGTGCATTGGTACAGCAAGTCAGGAAAGCAGTTCAAAATCGTGCCTTAAGAGTAACCTAACTGTACATACCCTTTGCCCAGTAATAACACAACAAATTCTATTCTCCAGTTCTGTCAAAGGAAGAGTTAAAGGACTCATATGTATAGCATGTAAGCAATACCACACTTTGTGGAGTTATAAAGAAAAATGAAAATGTGGGGGTGCCCATTGAACAAATTATAGTATTATATTATTAAAATCATGGAGTATTATTTATGCCCTAAGAAATGGTGAAAGGGAGAAAAAGTTTTCAGCAAACATGGGAAGACCTGCATACTGAGAGTGAAATGAGCCGAACTAGGAGAACTATTTCTATAATAACAATTTTGTAAAGATAAACAACTCTGAAAGAATCCTGTTCAGCTCAGTGATCAACCGTATGATTCCAGAAGAGTGATGTTGATGCCATGCTATATGCTTCCTGGTAGAGAAATGATGGACTTCTTATGTAAAATGAGATATGTTTTAGGCATGGACAATGTGGGATTTTTTTTATTATGCAATTTTATTACAACAATTTTGATTTTCCCTCCCCTTTCCCAGTTTTCAGGTTAGGAGAAAATGTGGAAAGGAGATAAAATAGAATATTTTAATTGAAAAAATAATTTTGAAGCCTGCATCCCATACTCTGAACTAAGGTTATGCTCTTCCAATTGTTTTGCAGCAGTCACCTCAATTTATCAAAACCAGCTTCATCATCTATTGCATGTTGTTCTCTGTGCCTCTGCCCATGCTATTTCTTCTGCCTTAAATACCTTTATTCTGTTTATCAATCCAAGTCAATCTTATGTCCTTGAAAACCAGACTTAAAAAGCTTGCCTATAGTAAGAAACTCTCCAGGATGAATTATACCTGATGATTTTGCTTTCTTTCAGGACCAGAAGACCAAATTGGGTAGAGAATGAGCAATAAAAACTCATCAGTGGGGGCAGAGGTAGGTGGCACAGTGGATACAACACCAGCTCTGGAATCAGGATAACCTGAGTTCAAATTTGGCCTCAGACATTTGATACTTAGTAGCTGTGTGACTTTGAGCAAGTCACTTAACCTCAATTCCCCTACCAAAAAAAAACAAAAAAAAATTAGTGCAAAATTGGTGATTCAGTAAAGGGCTCTGAATTATGCAAAAATATGTATTAAACTGATGCTACATGCAAAGCACTGTGCTAAGCACTATAGATACAAAGAGAAAAAGAAATAGAAATTTCCTAGTCTTGAGAAGCTCTTTCTATACTCTAACTGGAGTAGATAACATATAAAAGAAAGTTCAACTGAAGCACAAGATGGAATGGTTCAGAAGTCCTGAGGTTTTGGTGTTAGAATGGATGGCAAGAGCCAGAAGTACTTTGCATAAGTAGTTAAGATGACAATATCAAGGAACTTCAAGGTATAAAAAAGCAAAATAAATAAATGGTAAGGCCTAGGCTCTCAAACACTTAGGAGGCACATTTACAGAAGAGATAGTAAAGCCTGGTGGACCTCCATCTCATCAAGCAGAATAGAGTTGCTGAATCCCATTTTATCCAAGACTTAGAAATAGTTACTAGCTTGGAAAAAGGGGGGAGGCAAAGAAGACAGGTACTCCCTGCTGATAATGGTTCTTTGGATCAAGTAGACATGTCACTTGGGGATTTTGGATGGTTATGGATGAGGCAGTAGATGAGGGAGAAGGCAGGGGTTCTCAGATGGTTTCCATACTGTATTTTATAAAGAGTGATAAATAGAATTAGGTACAGAGTGGTGAGACAGGGGTTTTTGTCAATTCACCTTTCATGATTTATGAAAGCAGCCCTATAGGCCAAGGAGTGTTGTTGGTAAGATTGAAGATGACTGACCTGTTCAAGAGAATGAATGGATGAAACAGAAAGCATTTATCTCACATACATTAATGTGGGCACCATTTTTATTGATAACTTTAACAGTCATCCTTATTGCCTGCTCCCCACCACTTTCATTACTGTGAACACAACCAACATTCAGTAAATGTGTCTTGAATAAATGGGGAAAAGTGTATAGGGACTGAGCTGCTTTACCTTCTTATGGATAGCTTCGAGGTCTTCTCTATATTTTTGATCTTCCTCTCCAATTATTTTTTTAAATTTCATCTCTTTGTTTTTAAATTCCAGTTCTCTATAGAAGAAAAAGGGAAAGTTTGATACAACTAGCAATACAACTGAGTTGGAGTTCAAGAGACTTAAATTCTAGTTTTATTTCTAGTTGTAGAACCCAGTTCTAGCTTCAACTAATTAGCTGTGTCAATTTGGGCAAGTCACTTAGCTTTTCTGACTTTCCATTTATTTCACTGATTAAATAAAAGCCTTGAAACTCAATGAACCCTGAGATGTCTTCCAACTCTAGTTTTAAATGACAAAGTCAAAAAGTCAAAGGTATGAAAAAAGGCAGTTTTCAAGGGAAGAAATCCATTTTGAAATAGTCCAAAATCACGAATAACTAGAGAAATGTATTTTAGCAATTCTGAGCTACCTCATACCAATCAGATTAACAAAGATGATTACAAATGAAAATGACAATTATTGGAGATGTATGTGAAAACAAGCACATTAAAGTGTTGTTGCTGGAATTGTGAATTGGTCTGGCATTCAGGAAAGTAGTTTGGTACTAGGTCATAAGGGTCATTAAACTGACTATACTCTTTGATGAATAATGCCTTTTCTAGGCCTATATCCCAAAGAAATAAAAAAAAAGGATAGGACCCATAGGTATCAAAATAGTTATAGCAGACCTTTTTTGCAGAACAAAGAACTGAGAACTTAATAGGATGCTCATCATTGGGGAATGGCTGAACAAATTATGGTATAATAGAAATGGAATATTATTGTACAATAAGAAATTATTGCAGTGATGGTACTAGAGAAATCCTGGAAGACCTCTATGAACTGATGCAATGTGAATAAGCAGAACCAGTGAAAGAACTTCTCATAATAATTGCAAAGAAATTATCACAATAATATCATGAAGAAAAACAAATATGAAAGACTTAACTCTAATTATAAAATGATCAACCACAATTCTAGGGGATGAATAATGAATCATGTAACCCTTGTCCTGAAAGAGGAAGTGATGGACATATGATGCAGAATGAGACATAAATTTTTGGATAGGACCAATTTGGGTATTTGTTTTGCTGGACTATCCATGTTTGTTATAATAATTTTTTTAAAAATTTCTTTTCTTTTTTCTTTTTGAAGGGGGAGTCCAAAAGAGGTAGGTGAGAGGCAGATTGTTAGGCATAGTGTCACCAAAAAAAAAAAAGAGTGAAAGAAGCTAGTCATTGAAGCATTTGTTACTATACAAAAGATGACAGATGAAAGACCAGAATGAATCACATACAAACAGGGCAGATTTGAAAGTTACATTTTGAATGAATTATATGCCAAAAAAGGAACTCTAGCTCCATGTAGTAGAGATTCTCAGTATCATGTACAAGCCTCTTCTTTTCTACTCTTTGTGTTGACATAGAGACATGTTCACTTTATGTAACTCTTGTTAATTTCAGACAAAAAGAAAAAAAGTTAACTCATTCTATGTTAGGGTATAACTAGATGAATACTTTAAAATGAATAACTAAACAATTACATTTTTTCATTTAAAATGTTTAATAAAATATCTTTGTACCTTCTGCAAAATAACTCATTAGGGAAAATGCTTGTTATTTCTTAAAAATTGAATGAACTATATGAATACATGCATATAAAATTCATACACATGTACATATAAATATATCTACAGAGGCAGCCTAGTACATATATGTGTGTATGTGTATTCATGTATGTATACATATACAATATATGTAATATATGTATCTATTTATAAGTATATATATTTATATGTGTGTGTGCATATATATGATAGCATGCCTAGAGAGACAGTCTAACATAAGCATATAGAGAGCAGGCCGACAAAGCCTAGGTTCAAGTTTGCATCTGACACATATCAGGCTGTGTCTTATGATGCTAGGCAACTTTTAAGACAGTATGCTGCAGAGATGCCAACTTGCATTGGTAGGAGGAGTTTCATTACCTAAGAACTATACCAGTGAAATCACAAATCCAGTCCACATCCTTACTTACCCAAATATGATTTCATGAACCCTAAAGCTAAAATAAATATTTGCAAATCCAAGCTTATGCAACATGATTCTCCAAGCAATTTTGAGCATTTTAATGTGAATAATGGCAGAACTACCAAATTGTGTTCTTTCTCAAATTACAGGCTCAAGAAAGGACTAAGCTCACACTTAGAACAACTGTGATTAATGAATTTGTAAAAGACTTGTCTGTTTATGGCTGTCTGTCTGTCTGTTCTGGTTAATGTCATGGTAATGTGGATGGAACATGCTCAGAGCTGCCCTGCCTGCCTCTTATAGACTATATGCGACTCAGTCCCAAAAAAATCAGCACCTTAGTATGATAGAGCAAAAACTCTGTAGTTCTTTGGTGTCTTTCCCACCCTGTGATAGGAGGAGAGGGGTAGGATGTTGCATCAGTTAAAAAGGAGTGGCGTCTTCTGTTTTTGGTTCTTTGTTTTGTTTTTTGTTTGCTTGTTTTTTGATTCTCTAGGATATGTGGCAAGTAATTCTCTCCTGGGTGGTGGGGGAATGGGCTGTCCTTCCCTCTCCACCTCCACCCCTACCCTGTTAGCCAGCCAACTTTTCCCATGTAGCCACAAGAGCTTTGGGGCTCAACTAGAAAACTTGAACCTAGACCTCTGACTGCCTCTCCTATATAAATGACTAAACATCAAATTTGAGATTGTTGTGTCCAAGCTTAGAGGGGACTGTGAATTTAAGAGGCCTGGAGATGCTGTGCTTTTATAGCTTGTGTTTATTAGGTACATCTTATGTGAAAATGAAATAAGTACCTATTTATAGAGTAGGTTGAATACTTCTGTGCTTCTTTATTTGGAAAGACCCTTCACATAAGCCAAACTTTTTCATTAAGTAATTTCCCCTAGAACTACAGGATGGTGGCTAAAAAAGTCAAAGGCTATGAGATAAGAAGGTTGTCCTTTCTTTTAGCTCAGGTCTTTCTAGCACTAAAGCTGGTCATTATGTGTATGGGTCCAAAACAGAAGGGCCCTTTGGTAAAAAGGGAGAGATCACAGCATCATCCCAATCCTCTGGAATTAATAAAACATAGTTATGCAAACAAATTGAATAGCAAAAGTACATAAACTTGATTTTCCAAAATCTCTTGAGGTTCAAGTAGCAGTTATTTGCCAAGAAAATACAAATTCATGAGCTAAAAATTTGCCAAGATAATACAAATTCATGAACTGAAAAGAAATCCAAATGGAAAATCAGAGGTTTGTTTGAGATATGATGGGGCATTCAGAAGAGAGAGTTCAAATGGATCCTAAAAATCTTGTGATCTGCTGAACAGAAAAGGAGTATCATTCACATCTCGCAAGAGAAAGTATGGAAATTAATTTTTAAAAAAATTAGGCTTTGTACCTTCCAAATTTTCCTGTGTGAACACGTTACTATGAAAATTTCAAAATATGAAATGACTTTTTTTTAAGTAGAGAAGATTTCTTCTTTACCTATTCTAACTAGATTGGTATCACCTATTTTAATGATCTGGTTGAATATATGGATGCTAAAAAACAGAATTGAAATATAATTAAAACTACAACTTAAGATTTTTATGACCCAACAGACCAATGTATACATATAATTAGAAGACCAAAGGATAGTACTTGGACACTTCATTGACTCATCATTGGTGTAATTGACATCCCTTACACACCATTCAGATCACCACCTCTCTACAAATTAATAAGTATTTTTAGAGGGTTGGTATGGCTGAAGTAAATTCATCATCCTTTGGCCTCTTTGGAGATCCTATTCTTCCCTGGACTTTTTAAGGGGATTATTCCAAGGATAATAGGCATAGTATTCATCTCTAAGCCCATACTCAAAGTGTTTCTAGCTGGGTAGGACAGGTCAAAATGAAGGCCATCTTCATGCTACCATAAGGCATAAGGAAATGGTATTGGAAAAGGAAAGGACTTTGGCAGACAAGGACACATGAGAAATCATCAACATATAGATCCCCTGTTTCAACTTTTTCTATTCACAAATAGCAAATACTGTATTCACAAGCTGGGATAAATTATTCCTTTGAAGTATCCAACAAATGTCCAATTGAGAACTTTGGTCCTGGGTCAGGAGACAGACAATTCAGAAATAGACTTCCAGTTGATTACCTAGTTATGGGAATTTTGGATGGCAATATGCAAATTAACATTATAATATAAAGTAAGGAAAAGAGGACAGTGTTGAGAGGGTAGAAGGAAGAAATCTCCACCATATACTTGAAGTGTTCAGGATAAGCAGCTTAAAAAAATCAATTCTGTTACATTCCAGGAAGCAGGGAAAGTTCTAAGAGCACGAGGGCTAGGTGAGTTGGGATAAAGAAGCAATCAGCCTCAGACTTAGAAACAGAATGACTAAGTTTTCATTCTTGTGAAGAAGTTAATATATTGAAGGTAAGGTTTTTCATTGTTTCTGTTTACTGCTTTTATTATTTTTTTTTTGGTTTTTTGTTTTTTTGTTTTTGCTTTTCAAATCTGTATGACAGAGTTTAATATCAGGAAGATTTCCACTTGAGAGTTCAAAACTGTACCATAAATGATTTGATTTGATTTGTATAGCAAATCTTTACAAGTTAAACCCTAACCCCCATTCACCCTTTTCTGTTTAATAGCATTGACTGAATTGTTTTCCATATAAAAAGTCACAGCTGGGATAAGCATATAATAAATAGTAATGACAATAATAATGAAAGTGATAATAGCTCTTATTTGTATGATGCTTTAAGGTTTTCAAAATGGTTTACAAATATCTTATTTGAGCCTCGCAACCACTCCAGGAGGTAGGTACTATTATTATCTACATTTTATAAATGAGGAAACTGTACAATGCTCTGTCCACTGCACCACCTACCTGCAAATAGATTGATTATAAGTATACATTGAATGCTTCAACACAAGAGTGTGAACAACAGATAAATTAATCTCTAGCACAAAGCATCTTTTGCCTAATAAGTTCTTAACAAACTATTCAAGTCTATGGGATTTTAAACCATTCGCTGAACCTCTTAGTTTTGTCATTTGTAAAATATGGTGTATTAACTCCTGGAATCTCTGAGATCTCCTCTAAAATCCTATGATCTTCTGCCACTTTCCCAAAATGTCAATGCGTTCTCTAACAATTTAAGACAAATTTATGTATCATGAAGAAGGTAGCCCATGAGAAAAGCAGCACATGCACAATCTGAAAGAATGTCTTATAGAAGATCCAAGTTGTCATTCCACAACTGTGGCGCCACTCCCATAACAGAAATCCTGAACACACTAAACCATGACCCACTAACCCACAAGACACCGATTCCAAAGCAAACCACATAACAATCTACAACAAACCACTCCACAAGAAAATGATCCACAAACCACTCTATAACACAACATTCCACAATTTATCAAACTGCCACCATCCAAACAACAAACACATGTCCTGCCTCCTTGTTTTCCTTTCAGGAATGATCTCTCCCAATCCCGGCACCTTAATTACCACCACCCCCACCCCCACCCCGGTTCTACCTTGATGATACAGAATAACATCATAAATGTTCTATGATGCAATCAGAAGCTTTTACTGCCTGTTGAGTGGTTAACGCTTGAGGGACTAATCAGGTCTTTGTCCTGAGTTGAGGTCAATTCTCTTCATTTTCTCTAGAACTTGTATCAGTCAGCTAGTCATCCAAAAAGCTCCAATAGTAGTTGATAGATATCTCAGCCCAGGGCCTACCTAATCTTTCAGTTTTACCACCTTAACACATTTGATATGCAGACTTCTTTGTCTTTAGTTGGGTCTCATCTAATTTCACTTCCGAAGTGTCAGAATAAGTTTCCCTATCAGAAAGTATCCATACAATATTACCTATCTAATCAACAGGCATCCATTACTAATCTGCTGTGTGGTAGGCATCAAGTTAGGTGCTTTGTGATAAATAGCAGTCCCTGCCTTTGAACAGCTTATAGTTCAAAGCATAGGACCAGAATCTGCATACTGGACCAGATTAAAACATAATTGGGAAATATTTAACAAATTAAATAAAATATAAATAATATTAATAAATGGTTCTCTAAGTCAATATGAGGCCCATTTTTTTCCTTTTTTTTTTCTTTTTTTGCCACTCTGTCTTTCTATTCTCTTATATCCCTGCTGGGAAAAAAAGTCCTCATATCAACTATATGTAACAGTGATTACTCTTGACCTGACTGCCTGGGATCCAGGTATGTTATGTTTCACTCCTCCACCAGGATTCTCTAGGTACCCTTCAGGGAAATTCAGGGGCATTTAGGATTTGCCATTGGCTCCATTTCCCTAAGTTTAGTGGTTCCTTGAACCCCAGTTCTAATTAACAGTAAAAGGAATATTTACAAAGGAATACTTACTTCAAAGCTATATAGCATGAACAAACATATGAACACCCCCACCAAGAAATACCTGGAGGGCGTGATCCTCCCTTTCCAGAATCACAGTGGATCATTGCACTTATCAGAGCTCTCAGATCTTTTGAGATAGTTTTTTCTTTATGTTATGGTACAGATTGTTCTCCTGATTCTGCTCACTTCCTATGTCTTCCCAAGTGTCTCTGTAACTATCCCCTGTCATCACAATAATATTCATTATATTCATATGCCATAGTTTATCCATTCCCCAAGGGATGGGTACCTCTTTAGTTCTAGTTTTTGTGCTGCTATAAAAGGAGCTGCAATAAAAATTTGTGTGCATATAGGACTGTTCCTGTTTCTTTGATCTCCTTTGACCTAGTCATGGTATACAGGACATGTATTTGTTGTTTGGATGGTGGCAGTTTGACAAATTGTGGAATGTTGTGTTACAGAGTGGTTTGTGGATCATTTTGTTGTGGAGTGGTTTGTTGTAGATTGTTATGTGGTTTGCTTTGGAATCGGTGTCTTGTGGGTTAGTGGGTCATGGTTTAGTGTGTTCAGGATTTTTGTTATGGGAGTGGCGTCACAGTTGTGGAATAACAACTCGGATCTTCTGTAAGACATTCTTTCAGATTGTGCATGTGCTACTTTTCTCACGGGCCACTTCTTCGTGATATATAAATTTGTCTTAAATTGTTAGAGAACGCATTGACATTTTGGGGACAGTGGCAGAAGATCAGAGGATTCTGGAGGAGATCTCAAAGATTCCACTCATTCCCTGTGGCTTGTAGGTGAAGGCAGGTGAGGTAGAATACTCCTCGCTACCATTGCTACTTCCAGGTTCTCTCCCTACCTCTACTTCATCTCTCACTTTTCTCCCTTTGAGGTTCATGCTTTTTCATCTCTACCCAACCAAAAGCCTGGTAGCTATTGTCTACAGACCTCCAGATCAGTCCCCTTCAGTGAATCCAGCACCTAGCTCACAGTTTTTCTCTTCTCCCCAATTCCTGCCCTCATACGAGGGAACTTCAAAATGTATTGACTTTCCCTTCTCAGTTCCTCAACCTACTTACTTCCCATGACCTACTTACTCCTTCCACCCTACCTCAGCGACATACAAAGATGGCCATATCCTTGATCTTGACCCTCAAATGTATGTCCATGTTCAAGAATTCTGTAGTCCCCTTATCCAATCATATTCTATTGGTTTTGCACCTCTCCCTCTGCCTTTCCTCACCAAAACCCCTTGCTCTTCATCCATATCATGACTTCCAGTCCCTTGATCCTTCAGCTCCCTCCCAAGTCATATCCCTGGGATTTGCCATCTTGATCCCTTGATGAACCAATTCAACTCTAAACTCTCCTCTTATTTTCATGAAGTTTTCTCCTTAAATCATAACAATTAGATATAGATGTATACTTTTCCTGTAGGTTTAAAGATAGGAAATCAACTCAGTAATAATTCTTTTTAAGATCAATGGATTTTAAGATAGCCATTCAGTCAATCAATAAGTAGTTATTAAGTACCTTCTCCATGACAGGAACTGGGGATATAAAGAAAAGCCAAAACTTTGTCCCTTCCCTCAAAGAGCTCACTTTTGGATGTGGGAAACAAGATACAACCACACCTATGAGATATATACAAGGGAAATGGGAGGTGATATCCAAAGGAAGGCATTAGTGGTGAGCAGACTGGGAAGGCTCTCCAACAGAAGTGGAACCTGACCTGAATCTTGAAAGAAGCCAGGGAAGCTTAGAGGAACAGTAGAGATGGGAGATGATTCTAAGTGTGGAAGACTGACAGTGAAAAGGCCCAGAGTCAGAAGATGGGGGTGTTATGTTGGAGGGACAGCAAGGAAGCCAGTGCCGTTGGATTGTAGTCACCTTAGAGAGCCAGAATTTGAATTTTAGCTCTGTCATTTTCTCTTTATATGATCCTGGATATATCATTTAACTTTTCCAGGCCTCAGTTTTCTGATTTATATAAGAGAGGGTTGGACTAAGATGATTCCAAAGGTTCCTTTCAGGTATAAATCTATGATCCAATGACCTCCATAGCTGTACAAATAATCAACCATACAAGCAAATGTTCATTAGGTATTTTACAAGTATCATCATACCTGGGGCATACCCCTCTTTCATATGGGGCACTCAGAATACTCACCTCACGTTCAAGCACTTTGTGTGGATCCATTCCAACTCAAAACTGTGGCTTACCAGTCTCACTGGTGTGCTTTCTTTTGTCTAGTCATTCAGAGGACACAATTAGTTCCATGCAAAGTTATTTAGTGGAAAAGCATAGTAAGAAAGTAGAATATTTACCTCATTGACTAGGGACACGTTCTTCCACAAATACACACACTATCATCAGTGGGTTGAATGGGAATCAGCGGGAATGAATACATGTGGATAATACGTAGAGCATACATGTGCAGAACAAATTTGGCCAGAAGGCGCACATGTAAGGGCAACCAGTACCTCCAACTATGAGGCACCACAAATGTCATCTGGTGATGTCATTGTACTCTTCTTGCTGGACCTGACCCCTGTGCTTCCAGTTTCTCTGGGATGGTGGGGTGGGTGGTGGTTGTCTGATGGCTGGGCATTTAATCTCTCTGATGCTTTGCTGGATTCTTGATGCCTCCACTGGGTAAGTTGTTCTAGTCTCTTCTAATTATAACTGCCAGTCATGTAGACCACACAATCTCTTTGCAAATTTTTCTTTGGTAATGAGCTTCTGAGCTTACATCTTCAGGTCTATTCAAGTCATCTCAGGTCCAACTACTATATATGGCATGTATATATGTTTGTATGTATACAAATCTATATCCATATGTGGAGGGAGAGTAAAACCTGTCATTTATTGGGGCTGACAGATAGCTCTTGTCATAGCCACCACAACCAGCTAACAAATGGATGCTATAGAAATTCTTTCTCACATACACACACTTCTATTTCTGTCTTACACATGTGCATAAGCTCCATAGATCCCTTTAATCTATTTATTAGTAGCTAGGGTACAAATGTCCCCTTGAGAGGGATTGGAAGTAGGTTTAGAGCTAAAGGTTCAAGATTAATTCAATGCTTGCCAAAAGACAATTCTGTTATTAAACGATTGATGTGATGTGGTTTATAAGAAAGAACCATTTCTTTTATGTAGCAACAAATTCCTGGGACAGGATCATTTCTGAGTTTATCCTGCACTGCTTATTATTAGTACTACTATAGGCTATGGTCAGTGATGCTCCGTGGTGTCATAATAGTTGGACACAGATGCTTGGAGGCACGGTGTTGGTACAGTGGCAGAGAATACACACATCTAGCTTTGGAAGAGAGAGTGACATTCTTCTACATATTTTTTTTTCTTGCTTGCTTTATCCCTACTATTTACTTATTAGAACTTGGTTACGCCTTCAGGGAAGATGTATATTCATAAGCTAAAAGCTGGTCTGGGTTCCTGATCTTGGAAAACTTTGAAATACATTGTTTCTTGTTATTTCTGAAACTCTTGAGTAGTGAGATGACCTTTGAAGGTGGCATAAAAGATAAAGGGGGTTGTGGTCGCCAGAGCTCCCCAGGAACTTTTTCTTGGGTTTGAGAATGGGAGGAAAAAAAAAAAAGAGAAGGAAGTTGAGCACCAGAGTTAGCCTAAGGTGGTGCCCTTGCTAGTGGGTAACACTTTTATGTTAATTTCTTGGGGCTAGAGAGCAGCTCCCTCCCTTCAGGATCTCTTGCAAGCATGCCTTAAATTCCTACAAAAAGGAAATTTGTGAGACTTTGGCTGAGAGGGATAGAGGAGTCTAAGATGACTTAGACCAATATATCCAAAAGGTATTTTTTTTAAGAATTCACATTTTATTTAAGTTAAATTTTTTTCCAATTACATGCAAAAACAATTTTTTGATCATTTATTTTTAGTTTTTAATATTCAGTTCCATAAGATTTTGAGTTTTAAATTTTCTCCCCCTCCCACTCCTCTCCTCCTCCAAGACAGCATACAATCTGATGTAGGCTTTACTTATACATTCATATTAAGCATATTTTCCCATTAGTCATCATGTAAAGAACAATTAGAACTAATAGGAGGATCCATAAGAATGAAGCAATAAAGCAAAACAACAGAGGAAAAGGAGAGCAAATAGTATGCTTCCATCTACATTTTTTTTTAATTTTGAATGCCAAATTCTTTCTCTCCTTCCCCTCCCTCCTCATTAAGAAGGCAGGCAATTTGATATAGGTTATATATGTGCAATCATGCAAAACATATTTCCATATTAGTCATGTTGTGAAAAAAAAACAAAACATGAAAAAATTAAGTAAAAAAATAGTGTGCTTTGATCTGTGTTCAGGCTCTATCAGTTCTTTCTCTGGAGGTAGATAGCATTTTTCATTATAAGTTCTTTGGAATTGTCTTGGATCATTATATTGCTGAGACTAGCAAAGTCATTTGCATTTGATCATTGTAGAATATTGCTTTTACTATGTACAGTGTTCTCCTAGTTCTATTCACTCCATTCTCCATCGGTTCATGTGACTCCAGGTTTTTCTGAAAGCATCCTGCTATTTCTTATAGCACAAAAGTTTTCTATCAAAATCATATACCACAGCTTGTTCAGCCATTCCCCAGTTGGTGGGTATCCCCTCAATTTCCAATTCTTTCCCACCACAAAAAGAGCTGTTGTATTTTTGTATGTATTTTTGTATGTATAGGGCTTTTCCCCTAAAAATAAGATTTGTTCTAATCATATAGAGTAGCTGAGAGACTGTGGCACAGAGGATTCAGAGATAGATTCAACTCCAGCGTCTGACACAATACTGGCCATTGTGACCCTGGACAAGTTACTTACCCTCTTTATGCAATAGCAAACTCCAGAAGTCTATAAATTGCAAAACACTTGCCAATATGCATTGGAAGAGGGAGTTTCCTCAACTGGGGAGAGGGGAGGATGTCCCTAAGCCAATGAAATTCACAAACCTAGACAAAAAAACAAATGTCTTCTTGTAATCTAAGAAATCAAAAAAATTACCAAGACCAGTGCTAAAGAGTGGAGATAACAAATGCAAAAGAAGGACAGTCCTTGCTCTCCAGAAACTAATATTCTGAGAGAAGGAAGCAACAAACAAAAGACAGGAGTAGGCAAGGAAACATTTTGATTTTGGAAACAACAGTAATGGTGAGTGTGCCAGTAGGGCAATCCCGGACACATCCTTTTCCAGAGGCAATGGTAATGCTGATTTGATCCCAGTTTTCAGAGTAGAGGTAGAAAGCTGAGGAGGAAGGGAGAAAGATGTAGGTTCATAGCAGGGAAAAAAATGCCTGGGGTGATGAGGATGCATGTTCCTAAGGAATGAAGTGTGCTTCTTTTCTGGAAGTTATCTAAGTCTGACAGCCTTTGATTCAAAGGTAGCTTTTGTAAAACAGAAAAGCACCAGATTGGTTGTCAAAGGAGCTGGGTGTGAATTATAGATCTGCCACTAATATCACTACTCTTGAAGCTGGTGCTATTGTTATCCTTCTCTGTTTTACAGATGAGGAAGTTGAAGCTGGGAGAAGTTAAGTAATTTGCCCAAGATCACAGAAAGTCTGGTCAGGAATTCAGACTCAAGTCTTCCTAAATATTTCTTAAGTTCATTGCTCAATCTACTGTGTAGTTATTTAACCTCCCTGTATCTCAGTTTTCTGAAACAAACCAAAATAAAGATCATTAGGGAACTCAAATTAAAAAAGATAATGGAAAATTATGCTGATTTCTTCAGAAACTGACTGTGGTTAATTCATTCACATTATCTGGGAGTCTGCAAAACATTTCATTGGATTTTGTTGTAGTGGAGTCAATTGAGTCATGTCTGACTCTTTGTGACTCCATTTAAGGTTTTCCTGGGAAAGATACTGCAAGTGGTTTGCTATTTCCTTTTCTAGCTCATTTTACAGATGAGAACTGAGGCAAACAGGGTTAAGTGACTTGCCCAGGGTCACATAACTAGTAAGTGTCTAAGGCTGGATTTGGTCTTAAGTGCTCCTGACTCCAGGATTAGCTGTCCATTTCTTTGAAAGCCTCTACTTTTTCCTTTCTATATTCTATCCACTGCTACACTTTCCAGGGTAATCCCTTGATTTCTCTTTCCCTCACTCCCCCAAACTCCTCCCAGGCCTCTGAGAAATATAAGCAGCTGTTTGTTTTAATGGCTTATCATTTTGTATAGGTTTTTTCACCATGCTAGATTTCTCAGGGAGGGAACCCTTAACATTAAAAGCTTGTAAGCTGCAGGTGGTTGATGGAATACTCTAGCTCTTTTGACTATGTCATTTTGATTCCAGAGATTCATAAATTGGGATGGATGTAGTATGACCTGCCACCTAAGTAGTTGTTACCTTACTAATGTTCTTACAAGATAGATTTTAGACATGGATAAAAAATGAGTTTTATTTAATCTTCTGTCTGTGATAGAAAAGAGGCAAAGAAAGAATTTGTATGTAGGCTTCTTAGGGAGTCTACTACCCAAATCCAAAGACATCTATGCAGATTCTGTTTGTAACAGGAAGAGAAATCTGACCATTAATTTCTTTATGTAAAAGACAAAGAATATCTTTCTACCACTGTCATGACAATATGCTTGTTGTGGTGGAGATAAAAATCATTAAGACATAATTCCTTACTATTGTGCTTTAAGAAATGATGAGCAGGATGCTCTTTAAAAAAAAATGGAAAGACTTACACGAACTAATGCAAAGTGAAATGAGCAGAACCAGGAGAACACTGTACACAGTAACAGCAATATAGTATGATGACTAACTTTGAATGACTTAGCTATTCTCAGCAATACAATGATCCAAGACAATTCTGCAGGACTTACAATGTCCTGTCCACCTCCAGAGAAAGAACTGGTAAAGTCTGAATGCAGATCAAAGATACTTTTTCTTTATTTTTCTTTGTTTTTTTGTCTGTTTTCTTTCACAGCATGACATGGAAATGTGTTTTGTATGACTACACATGTATAACCTATGTCAAATTGCTTGCCTTCTCAATGAAGGGGAGGAAGAAGAGAATTTGGAACTCAAATTAAAAAAAAAGAATATTAAAATTGTTTTTACATTTAATTGGGAAAAATAAAATATTAAAAAAGAAGAAAAAGACATAATTCCTGTCTTTGCAGAGGTTACTGTCTAGTTGAATTGGTGTCAGACTCAAATAGTGGCTTCATATTGACTTAGAAAATCACAAATTAACCTCTATTTTCTATTATATTTTTAACTTTATGTTGTTAAATATTCCCCAGTTGCTTTTTATTTTTTATTTATATTTTAACATTTTTATTTGAAGTTTTGAATCCCAAATTCTTTTTTTTTTTCCTTTGGCTAGGCAATGGGGTTAAGTGACTTGCCCTA